GAAGTATGGAAGAAGGGATTATTAAAAGTGAAGGAAAATGGGGTTATTTATAGGTGTTTTCAAGACCTATAGTCGGATACCCGGCCGGGTATTTTGACATACCGGACCGGGTATTTACCAAATCAAATATTTTCCCATGTTTTTGTGTCTTCTGCACGTTCTTTGGTCCGAAATCACTTCATACCCGACCAGGTATATGGAATACTCGACCGGGTATTTGCTAGTTTTGCAGCAGTTTCCTTTGTCACTTCATACCCGGCCGGGTAAAGTTCATACCCGACCGGGTTTTGCATAAAACTCAGGTTTTTCCATCCTTCTTGCATCCAAACCTATCCTAAACTTATAGCTCAACTAACTACAACTTACAACAAACAATAAAATGCTAAAAATACGATCACAATCAAATGCAAACTAACAACTACAAACTTGCATAATACTAGTAAATAAATATTACAAATGATAATAAAAATGTACACTTAGGCACTAACAACTAGTGCCTATCACCCTGCTTGTGTGGGCAAATAAATATTTGACATGTGGATAAATAATACTGACCTAGCATTGAATTTAAGAAATAAAAGTGTGCACTTTCAGTCCTTATGTATTAAACGGAAATTTTAAACGTTTAGGGAGGAACATGTAAGGGAATTTTCTTACAAGCTTTTGTTCTCAGAGTTTTGTTTTCTGTCATATAAACATTTTTCTGCTTCTGTTTTTGCTTATTTTCTGTTTTGGCAGCAGGGATTTGCTTTTTCTTTGTGTTTTGGAATGCCTTAAACTTGAATTAGGCAATATTGTGGTTATTTCATGGTGAGAGCTTGATATTTTGATATTCAGTTTGGTTGCTTTTACCACCAGTAATGGTATTCAGCTTAACATTGGTGTTGTTGAGCTGGGATAAGCCTGCAAGGCTCAGTGTCATGTATTCACTATGCTGATTAATTCCTATACACTAGATGAAAAGTCAGCAGGGAACTTGATCTTTTATTATTTTCATACGGAGTATAAGGTAGCATTTCAAATGAGACACAAAAATTATGCGTAGCACATGGTACGTATACATATACTGGTACTGTATTATTAGTACGTAGTCACGTACATCATGGATAAGACAAAAAAAATATGCCCACTCTCCTTTAATAAAAAGCATCTGCGATTCTGCGGCATCCGGAGATTCAAATCACTGCCATTTTCATAGCTAGATAGCAAAGAAAGAAATGAGGGCTCTTACCTTCAACCAAAGGGGTGTTCCAGTGTGCTGCGGAGAGACCATGGATAGGCTGCGGTTTGTGAAGGACCCAAACATACTGCTGGGGTTGAAGACCGCATACATCATTCTGGGAGCGATTAATATCGCCATTTCCACGGTTTTGATGTTTGTCAAACTCTCCCATAAGGAAGCCATGGTGCTTGTGCACACAAATATGAGCATTTCTATTGGTTTAATCATGATTATCTTCTTAACCATGTATACTCCATTCGGGTGTTGTGTTCCCATAGTGGAGTATATCTCTGTGGTCATAATCGTCGCCAACTACACGCTCTCTGTATTTTCCTTGGCTCCACAAAAGGGGGGTGGGAGTTTCCAAAAATCATAAGTTCTCATTTCTATTGACTGCTTCCAACTCTGGTGCGAGTTCATGGCTGTCATGCTCTTACGGCGTCGGAGGACCATGTCGTCTCACCTGGTCAAGAAGAGGCCGACTACTCTACCTCTCCTCCGGGTCTGCCCCAGGATCATGGCAGCTCTGCAGCTCCCACCTCTCCTCCTCCACCCACCGGAGAAGAAGTTGTGCCGGTTGGAGTCTCCGGCGGAACCTCTGAAATTGTGCCGGCAGATGAACATTGTTGACCAAGGTAATACTCTTGCTATGCTACGTTCGTATTATAGATAGACATTGAAAAATCCTATCAGCGGCGTAACTAGGGCCGCCGCCGCCCCCTCTTTCACCGGAGAAGCTCTGCATTTTTCACTTGCCGCCGTTCATTGGGTATTTTCTACGGTGCCCAATTTGTTTTTCATGGTAGCGTGCCCTGCTTATGTGGGCAAATAAATATTTGACATGTGAATAAATAATACTGACCTAGCATTGAATTTATGAAATAAAAGTTTTCACTTACAGTCCTGTATTAAACGGAAATTTTAAACGTTTAGGGAGGAACATGTAAGGGAATTTTCTTACAAGCGTTTGTTCTCAGAGTTTTGTTTTCTGTGTCAAATAAACATTTTTCTGCTTCTGTTTTTGCTTATTTTCTGTTTTGGCAGCAGGGATTTGCTTTTTCTTTGTGTTTTGGAATGCCTTAAACTTGAATTAGGCAATATTGTGGTTATTTCATGTTGAGAGCTTGATATTTTGATATTCAGTTTGGTTGCTTTTACCACCACTAATGGTATTCAGCTTAACATTGGTGCTGTTGAGCTGGGATAAGCCTGCAAGGCTCAGTGTCATGTATTCACTATGCTGATTCATTCCTATACACTAGATGAAAAGTCAGCAGGGAACTTGATCTTTGCTTGATCTCTAGCTTCCATAGCAGGCTTATTTGCTTCTAGTTCGGTGTTGAATTCTACTTCTGACTTTGTTTCTATTTTCTATTCGTTTGTAGATTATACAGGTTCGACTTTGCTACTTGAATTCTATATCTAAAAGCTAAGGAAGAAGCTTATGAGGGTTATGTTCAATGTTCCCAGAAGTTCTTTTGCAATGAGGAAACATGTCTTTTATGCTTTTAAGGTTGTTAGAGAGGAGTTCAATCAACAATTAGATGCTATACGATTTCGCATTGTTTGATATTACTGCATTTTGCATTCCTCTAAACTAGATATAGTAAGTACTTCAGAGTTCAGACACTGGTTAAGACCGAATGAATTTTCAATTAAATCTTATACCAAAAGAATACTTGACTTTTCAGCAGCTAATAAGAGCCATTGAGCATCATTAAACACCTGCTTGACAAAAATTAACCGGTGTGGAAGTAATTCGTTGCTGAAGAAAAAGTAAAGTAAGGAGTCTGCACTAAAGAAATACATAAAATTAAAAAAAAAAAAAAAAAAAAGGGGGTGGGGAGTCGATCCGAGGTGGAAACGAAACAATGCATGTTGCATGGCCACTGAGGTACTTTCAATTACTGATTATAAGGCACGCAGCCTATACTTATTACATTAACAACTACGAATAAAATAAAATAATTAAATAATAATTATTTTTAAAAAAAGTCAGTTCGGTTCGGTATGAACCAATTTTAAATCTTAAAGAACCGTGTTCGAACCGGTTTATGTTCGGGTCCCGACTTTCGGTTCGGTTTCGATTCGGTTTTTTTATTGCTCGGTTCGTTTTTTTGGTTTCGGTTTTCAGTTTTTCGGTTAAAAATGCCAGCCCTACTTATTACTACCGTAGTTATTGGGATTAAAGATCTACATGCAGAATTTGTTTTGGAAAGGACAAATGGGAAAGGGTGCATAGTGTCTGGTTTCAAGAGGCACGAAATCAAAGGATAGATTGGGAGCCCTTGACTTTTTCAGCAGGTACTAAGAGCCCTTGAGCATCATTAACCACCTGCTTGACAAAAAGTAACTGGTGTGGAAGTAATTCTTTGCAAAACATTATGTGTTCATAAGGTAGGAATTATGGTATAATGTTTTACAAAGATAAGAAAATAACTTGGAATAACGGGTCATAAATCGGTTAGGGACCAATGAATGAAGATTGGATTATTAGTTTCCATTTTATCATTTTAAAATCTCATATTGATATTTGTAGTAATTTTGTTCACAGGTATCCTTCAACAAGGTGTCTTAGACCATAACTTCCATGAACGAGATGAACAATAACTAACCCACCGTTGTATCCACGCTATGATTATTAACTATTATTCCCTATTAGTCAAGAATTTCTACTTAGTAATAGCATCAACTAATAGCATTTCTACTGTGTCCCTATTAGTTCATATCAGTAACAACAACATTTGAACACTTCAAATTGTGGCACAAGTATTTATTTAGATTGATACCCGGTACAATGTGCGGGTGAAATTCTAGTTTAAACCGGTTGTTTTTAAAAATTTCCAAAAATGAGAGACTTATATGAATTTTATACCATCCCTTGGTCTATGATAGTTACGAACCCGACTCGACAATGATGAATGCCCAATAGTGGCAGCGCCCGATAGTAGGCAATTTTATGTCAAAGCCTATTGTAGCCATTTTTAAAATACGAAAGGAGTATGAGGTACAAAGAATGTTGTATTGATAAGTGCTCCCTCTATATTTTTAGTTTGTTACACTTTCCTCCTGTGGATGTATTTAAAATTTTGCTACACCTTTTTCTTTTGATAAGCTTTCATTTTATCATTATTTTTTCTATTTTTACCTCTTTCATACTTTTAAACTTTCTCTCCTATTTTTTAAACACTATTAATTACCATGCCACTTTCCATCTTAAATAACAAGAGCACTCCATATTTCAAAGACCGTTGTAGCGATCTTTAAAATACGGAATTGGAATTACCGTTTTTGAATCATCTAATCAAAATTTAACGAAATTAGCGTTTTCGGATTTACGAAATGAACCATGCTATGAAGGTTGCCGTAGATTTTGATAAGATGTTTCTAATACAATAGTTCAAATTGTGTTGTGAAATGAACCTATGTTACAAAGGTTGCCTTACATTTTGATTAGATGGTTTAAATTCAAGTTACGTTACTAAATGAACCACGTCATTTGATTACTTTCTCAAATATCTTCCATTCATATTCGGGTACCGCATTCTAGACTCGAATGCTGCTTGACAACACAAGCACGTTGGCTTTACCTTTTCAGAAACGATTTCTCCGTTTTGGTTATTACGGAGTATTATTTTTGTAATGCATGAACTTATATTTTCCAAGTTATATTAATTACCAAAAAAGTAACCGATCATTATTTTTGCAAATTGCATTTTGAAATGGGAAATGTTGCGACTGACTCCTAAATTTTACTCTATGAAAGGAAAAGGTAAAATAATCTAAATCACACTGATACATTGCCATCGAGTGCAAATGGAGAATGTGAAAAGCACAATAGATCTATTTAAAAAAGCGTATATTCTTTACAAGTAATTAGAAGTTGACCATTGTCAGGCACAAATCATTGCACACAAGCTACCAGGAAAATTTGAAAATTGGAAACTGTTAAAAGTGAATAATAAAAATCAGCTGGCCAACATATTCTCCATATGTTGAGAGAAGAAAAATAAAAGCTGAACCCAACACCCGGCAGAGAAGAAGGTGGCGCAATCATGGATTTGGATTGGTTCGACGATATGACCTCAAAGTTCTTCATTTAGATGGAAGGCCTCTGGCAAGCAGCAAATAACTGCCAGCTGACAAAAGCAATGGCCAGTGAGGTGAATAACTCAAAGCCAACGACCTTTGGAAGTTGCCACCCCATCCCCTGCTTCAGATAGCTGCAAATACCACCCACATAAACAACCTCAAAAAACCCACTCTTTCTTGGCATAAAGGGCGATCACCAAAAAACACTACTGTAAAGTGGTTCTCTTATATCCCACAATGATAGTCAAATTTCTTTACGAGATGTGCATTTCATTTTTTCAATTCCAGTTTTACCCCTACTTAATCATCCACTATAAGCTCGAATGCTACTCCATATTAAAATTGTTACAATGGAAACTGCCTATAATACTAATTGTAGCTTAACAGTCATTTCACAATTCGTGTGGAAATAGATAGTTGGCTGTTTCTTGGGTTGGATGGATTAATTACATTTGGTATAGTAAATAGAAATCGAAGAACTAACCTTGTTATGGATGGCATTGTTGCTACAATCCCCGCACATGTATATATAATAGGAATCAATGTCTTGGGTTTGCTTTTTCGCAGCCACATCAGAGATCCCAATGCTGCCAGTGATAAGTTAAATACCTAGATAAATCACAATTAGATCGGCAAAATGTAGTTTAGCATCAAGTATAGAGAACGGATATGCCTAGGCAGGGCCGCTGGGCCGAAGATTGCACTACTTTGCAGGAAAAAGGAACTCTTGTTAAATGTAATGCGTCTTTCCCAAAAAAGGAACTGTTCTTAAATGTACTGCCTCTTTCCCCAAAAAGGAACTTGTTCTGAAACCTTTTTCATCCCAAAATGAAACTGCTTCAAAAAGCCAAGTATCATTTTTGTGTAAATTTCACGTAAACCCATGGTTTTAGTGAATTACTCCTAGTCTTTTAAATAGGTTTCAGGGTATAACCAACAACTAATAACGTATAAAAGATTGTACCTTGATTGAGTTGACCAAATAAAAAGTTATAAACATGAAAACTTTTTTACGGACGGAGTTTTAGATATTGTATATTTTCTAGTTTCGTATTTTTTAACTAGGAAAGTAAGAGTTTATTTTTTTTTCAATACCAAATTGGCATTTGCTTCAAGGCCTTGCAGGATGTACTCCCAAGTGAACTCCAACCCTCTAGCACCAACCCAGAGGGGTGCCAATCTATGAAGAACTGAATCAGCAAAAGCCCATCCTATATAAAAAAAATACAACATACAGTTCACATGAAAAAAAATGACAAGCATATGAAGAGAGGAGGTTATGCAAAAAGGCAGGCTAGTTCACATCATAATAGAACACACTTACTTACCAAGTCCAACAGCTTGAAACTTGTGATTCTGAGAAATATTCCTGTGAGTCAATTGTGTCAATGCAAAATAAAGTCCAGCAACATCTATAAACCCGATCAGAGCTTTCAACAATTCCTGAAAAAAGTATATCTTAAATTCTCTATTTGCATATTTCAAAAAAAGGATGATACATGCATAAAAGGAAATGAGCTAAGAACAGTGACTTTTGATAGTAAAAAATATCATAGACAAAACTATTATTGAATCAACGTTAGAAAAAATATCATGGATAATATGATGATATCTGCTTCAATACATTGAAATCCAGTTTTTCATTATTGATTTCTTTCCACTTGTCATAGGCCCTGTTTTCTTAATGCCAATCCAACGGCATGAGCAATGCTGCTTCAACATTTCACATTATGTGACAGTTTATGGTATCTTTAATTCTTAGATACAACTCCAAAGCACAATATTTGCTAGGACCATTACATTTGAGCATCAAACATACTCATGACCGGTCTAAGAGAATAAAAATAATCAAGCATTATCATGAAAATAAACTTTTATAGTTTCTTTTTCATAAATAAAAGAAAAAACTAATTTTATGGTAGTGTATAAGGTGACAATGTTATCAAGGATAGATAACTAATACCTGATATGGCTCAAAAGTATCACTTTCGGAAACATTAAGAAATGTTGCAAGACACACAAGCTGCAAAAGAAATATACATGTATTATTTGTTTGGAACTTACTGAAAAACGGCCTTCAAAAATTGAGGTTGATAGATCATATGACATGAATGTGAGAGATAAAGCAGTTCATCCAAAAAAAATATACGTAGTATTTGGAAAGTCATCTAAAATTCAGCTAGTCAAAACTGCAATACTGACCTTCACTAATGCCGTTAAAAGATAAACAACAGCAGCTTTTACGGAAGTACCAAGAGTATCATATTCAGACCTGCAATAGTTTACAGAAAAACAATTTACAAATATTCAGGAAAAAAACTATCAGACACACAACATAAGAAATTGCACACTACTATCAAACACATATCTCTATTATAGCTTTTCCAAGTTGTAAGAACAGGCATATAGAATATTCTCTACTAGAATAGCCCTGTTCACGTCTAGAAACCTCAAAAGAGACTAACTTTTAATGTTAATATGATTGTTTCCAATGTCTTACCGTAGATGCAATAAGAAATACAGTACATATAGAAACCTCAAGATTCTAACTTTTAGTGTTGCTATAATCGTTTACAATGTTTTAAACTAAATGCATTAAGAAAGACAGGGAACTTAGTTGAATACTTTCCTGAACCTACATTCATATTCAATACCAAGTCGCTTGAACAAACACCAAACTGGTGTGCACTATTTTAGCAAATGATGATCAAAATATAAAAAATGTGATACTCAGTCTTTTCCTATTGACCTGTCTTCATTCATTGAGCCACACGTCAACACCAATTTAAGAAATGTTTGAGTGATGAAGTAATATACTTTACATGTTTAACTTAAAATACCCTCATTTAATATGAAGTTACCACTCACATTGTTTTAAATTACTCACTCTTATATAAGTATAAGAAGGGTAAATTTTGGAGAGAGATTACATGGAATTCTATGTAACCAAAGTAATACCAACATTGTATTGGATCGCAGCTACAGTGCAATTAAAAAGGCTAGATTCCAGAAGTGGACAGAGCTTGAACAAAAACGATTGAACATTGAGCAGTGCAGATGGAAGAATTTGAAAAAAAAAAATAGATTTCAAACCAAACGATCGAATGAGAACTATTTCCGGCGACTTCAGGGAGAAACGCATCTAATGCACACAGATGCTACAAAAATTGGGCGTGAAAGAAAGTGAGAGGAAACTCACAGAGGAGTGGCGGAGTAATATACAGCGTGCGGGCCGAAGGTTAGGATTGCACAGTTGAAAAAGTGGAAAACTGTCATCTTCCTCGTCTTTCTTCCTGCTCCTTTGTCACAGGCTTCAGTTCCCAGCAGCTTGATGCGGAAAGATCCCACTCTCAGGTTGCTAAGGAAGGATGGACTCGGCAGTATATTGGGCTTTTCTCATAAAACTGGTTTCGGCCTCTCGGGTGTCTATTTCAACCAATCGCAATTTGTAAATTTAAATCCATTTTGGGGGAGATATCAAGGAAAAATCAATGATACTGAGTAAGTGGATAAATTTTATAAAAGTTGTAGGAATAAGAATTGATCAACAAGTAAAATTCTGAAAGAAAAATTTGGATATAAAATTCGTGAGGGTTATGAAATTAAAAAAGACATATTGTAAGGCTATCCAAATAAATGTTGGATTTACAAATATAGTGTTTTAGTCTGTACAAATATACTCAGTATTGTTGTACAAATAGTGTTGGATAAAAAAACAGTGTTGGCTTTAAAAAAATACTCAGCGGATCTTTTTATTTTACATTCTTGAAATTTTTTCATTCCTATAATTTATGTTGTTTTTGTTTTTAGTGTCTTATACATTTAACAATCAATGTTGGAAACAAAATAATCCTACCTATATGATCCCTTTCATTCTAAGTAAATTATACGTAGTATCATACACCTGATTGTATCGTGCACACGGTACAATCGGATTTTTTGTTCTGCTGCGCACTGGGCTCTTTGTCGCTCGCGCAACTCGTCGCTTCGCTCGCCACTCGTATCTCTTCTCATCAAGCTAGCGCGGCTCATCGTTTCGCTCGCCACTTGGATCGCTTCCATCAACCACCAGATCGAAACTGCAAAGATGGAGCTCTCAATAGAAGCTATCAACACAGGATATGACTCCTTTTCTCTTTTTTTTACACATGTTTGGTGAGTTTGATCGCTTGTTTGCCACATGTTGCAAGTAACCTAGCTAAGATATATACGCAGTTTTACTAATATGAGCATACACAAATGTAAAGTTGAGCATAGTAGAAATTTTAATTGAGCTTTTTGAATTTTCCGATACTCATTTCGTAATTTATATATGTTCATTGATATTGGTGTAATACTCATTTCAAAATGTCATATTCATTAATATTTCAAATATATAATACTACAGTAAATCCACATATTGGATTCATACGGGTTCATTGTAGATATTTTAAAAAATAAGAAAAGAAAGTGAATTATAAGATATGAAAACCAATATCACGATGCTCATTATTAGACCCTCAGTACTCAGAATAGATCTGATCCTCACTAAAAATACATTAATGCTCATTTAACTGAAGTCACAATTTTCACTTAAATCACGGTATACGAACTTTTCATTCTTTGTGATATCATTCAAAAGCTACATAATTTTATTTTTAGAAAACATCCTTAAAACTCAATTTAAGAAGATAAATGATTATTTTTACATTGTTTAACTCCAATATTTGTCTAAAATATAATAAAACTAACGTAAAAGTTTCTTATAAATTTTATGAACTCATATTAGATGTTTTTAAATATAGTATAATTGAAAGTTGAGCCACGACTAATGATTGTGGACTAGGGTTGGACTCAGGCCGGGTGGCCCGACCCGGAACCGGCCCGGGACCGATACTGTTCTGGCCCGGCCGGAACCGGTGGCCCAGTCAGTGACCGGTCCGGGTAGGCCCGACCCAATGGGTTTCAGGTCCGGGCTCGGGTCACCCAAAACAAGGCCTGGCCCGGCCAGGCCCGGGCCCGGTTCGGGTCAAATTGAATTTTTTTTTTGGTTTTTTTCATTTGTTTTGCCTCCACCAGGTTGGGCTTGATGTTTAGGAGGGGTTTGGGGGGTGGGGGGTCAGAGATAGGTAGGTAAGCAAAAAAAAATAACCAAACCCGAGGCCCGGCCCGGACCCAGACCGGACCCGGTGGCTACCCGGGCCGGTCCCGGGTCCAGCTATTTAGAACCGCCGGCCCGAGTCCAACCATATGTGGACTGAGCAAACAGAAAATTGATGAGCACTATTTTTAGCATATCATAATTAAAATATGTTAAAAGGGATCAACCATGCTTCATGTACATGCCAAGTTATACACAACATTTTACACCGATAAAACTTGATGTGTGCAAACATTCTTTTTTCGTTTTGTGAAGAGAATTATTTTTCACAGCAACAAAAAAATTGTCAATGCAAAAAATGATTTACTTTTTTTTTTACTCCAGGGGGTCTGGGGGAGGGGCTGGGGGCCTGGGGTAATCAGGGCTGAAACTCACTCCATTGAGTTTCAAACCCTTGTTTGCCTAGCGGAAATCGAACTCGAGACCTCCCACTATGCACATGGCGAAAAAAACTATGTTCATAGACAATTTGACCGACGTGTAAAATGTTGTGTACGCCTTGACGTGTACAAACAACATTTCTCTAAAAGGGATACTTCCTCTCTGTCAAGCAAATCACTCTTTCACGCCAGCTTAATAAACGTTGAAGTAATAAACTCATACTTAAAATATTTTACTTAAATGCCCTAATTTTAGGAAATGCCCTAATTTAATATAGGGGTATTAGTGTATTACTCTATCACCTTAATTACTTGGAATAGTTTTCCTATGACTCCATGTCATGTATGTTAAACCATACATAATGGGATAGAAATAAAGGAGAGATAACATCAATGGATAAAACTATAAAGTGAGTACAATTCTAAAAAGATGTTGCTTACAAAATCATAAACAAGAAGATTCACTTTTTTATAAAAAAAAAAGAAGATTCAATTGTTAAAATGTAATTTCTTTTAATAGGAGTAAAATATACTCCTTTTCCTAATATAAGATTGCAAGCTAAATATTTCCTAAATATGATTAAACAAAAAAATTCTACCCTCAATACTCATAATCTAATTAATTAATACAATCAATTGCTCCTCTAGTTCTCTTGCATAATCGGGTCAGTCTATTGGTGGTGGGGCAGTCCACTGGTGGTGGCAGCAGCAGCGACCAACGGCAGAGTCAGGCTAGTGACAGATGTATTCTGCAAATTTTCGGGCGGCAGCAGATGTGACAAAGGCAGCGGCTCCAACAGCAGCTCATGCAGGGATATCCTTATGCAAGCTTCAAAAAATACTCCTATTTGGAGAGTTAAAAACATCCATATTTTTGCACTTCATGCTTTACTCCAAAAATACTCCTATTTGGAGAATTTTAATAACCTATCCATATTTTTGCACTTCCTCCATGCTTCACTCCTATTGGGGAATTATCTCATTGTTGAACATGTAAAATGTTTTACAATCCTAAACCGGCCTCAAAACATCTTTTACACAAACTGAAAGTGAATCTACAGTCTCGTAAACAATTATAAGCATATGCATTAATTAAGTTGTATCCTTAATTATTTTTGTGCAGCATTGCGGATCACCTCTTGTGGGGGATCGAGGCAAAGTGAATCAAATGTTTGGCAGCTCTGAAGGGGATAGAAACATACTCAGGGGATACACTTAACTGAGAAAGAGCACTGGCCAACAGGATCTTTTAATCAGGAAGAAAGGTGCTGAGCAATGGAGGCCACGTGTGTAAGATATGTCATTTTTCTTTGCCGCTTTGTCCAAAGCTAATGCCACGACATTGAGAGCGGAGACCACATGAGTATGCAGAGACTCGTTCTTGTGGGCTTTTCCTGTATGGGAAGGAACCTGTCCTGCAGTGTTTATGTTGGAAGGAGAAGATGCAAGTGCCTGAGCAGTCAAACCATTCAGTGGTTGATGGTCCATCCTGCTTCAAGCTGAAAGGAATAAGAAGTTTGGAATTTGATCTTATGAGTTCAGACATCTGAATACTCAACAAGTTCATATCGAATTAAGCAGGTCACCTATTTCTACAACATCATACACACAAAAATAAGAAACCCATAAACCAGTCTTTTAAACCAACAATATGAATGTGTTATAGGCAAATGATAGGCCCTTCCCCTACGGCTATGGCTACAAATTAATTATAAGAAATGCCTTTGGGGCTTTCAAGGTGGAATGCATCTTTTTGGATAGTTCATCAATTTCAGACTTAAAGTTAACTTTACGAAAGAATGAGAAACACATTACATATAGAGTTTGTCATGATATAATAATATGACTAATTGAAATCAAATATAATAATGCCAAGATAAATTCTTAATCATTACCCCCAAATTCCATTATCTAAAGTCATACTCCATATACTACATTCAATTTTCTTCTTTCATCAAGACAAGTTGAAATTAGGAAAAAGATAAGTTCATGTGCTATGAGCGTAGCACTGCTCCAGAATAGCATACATTCTTAAATTGCTTATATAAAAAATGAGTTTACACTTTCCGTTTTTCAAAGGTTTTTTTAGTATAGCAGTGTAGCTACAGACTCTCATGACAATTTGCACCGTTAAATCAACTTTAATTTCTTACCTAGTATATATTCAATGATTACATATTGTACACAAAAGTAAAATGATAGGAACTCCCCAAACGCAGCAGAAACTTTGTAATATATTGATGAAAATCTGAGAACCTTCAGGTATTACAATGGCGGAAAACAATAGGGAAACCTTCGTAAACGGAAAAATAGAAAGAGAAGACAAGTTTGAGACACTTAGAGTAGTCTCCCTCCCCCAAGCCTATTTCCAGTCCCAAGTTCTGCCTGCCTCTTACTCCTTACTTAGCTTCTATTCATACTATTATTATTAATAACACTAGTCTAACCCAGGCCTCTATTTTATGATTAAAAGCTTTATTCTGCCGGGTTCTTATCATCACTCTGTCCTTGGGCAAACACCTTCTCCTCAAGGTGGGAGGTAGGAGACAGCCCTTGCAACCAGCTTATCCTTGTGCCTCTTCCTTCCCAGTACCTCCCTGCTTGCTTTTCAACTTTCAGACATTTCACCATCTTTTCATTGCTTGGATCCTCTCACTTTGATCTGTTTCGTTCCAGATAAACCTCTTCCCGGAGCTTGGTCAGTGCCATTAAGGAGTCCTGAGTCAGAGTTGATACTTCTTCGAGATGTGAAACTCTTGAGATTCATCAATCACTGTCCACCAGCAAATAGCAGTATCCACTCACTTGCTTTGCATTCTCATCACCCCAACCTCCTGCTAGTTTTTCCTCAACTTTGATTACCTTAACTGATGCTTGTTCTAAAACGTTCAGTTTAATCATGGAAACCCCTGGCTCTTCTTTGAACACCGATGTAAAGGGAATGAGAAGAACAACATTTAGGCTCTTATGCTGATAAGCACAATTATATGCTCTTTCTCTTGCCTGCTTAATCCAAACAGCTGGGGCAGCAAACTCTGAGGTGTAACCAACTTCTGCTCCCAAAGATCAGTTACAAGGAGTCCATCTTTCCCTTTCGTAAGAGCCTCCCAACAGCATCACTGCATGGAAAACTATTGTATGAAGAGCCAGTCTGCTGATCAGGTATAAAAGTAGAGCTTCCCAACCAAGAACCTCCAGAGTTACTAGATGTAGCATTTCCTTTACGTAAATAAGACCAAGAGCACAGGCCAGAAGACAAAGCATCAATAAAAATCTTCACCAAGTCATCATTAGGAAGTGTTGTTGACACCAGCAGCTCCTGTTTCTGACTTCCACCTTCCTGTTCAGCCTTACCTATCTCAGGCATAACTGAAGAGTCAAGGTTGAAGGTGGGAAATTGTTTTCGCAATGCGTCCACTGGTTCCCATGTTGCCTCCTCGGAATTCAGAGAGGCCCATTGGATTAACGCTTCACACATGAAACATGTATTAGTGAATTGTCCGAAAGCGGAGAGTTGGACATCAACCGCTGCTAGGAAGGTCTTATCTTTAGAATATGATCTGAGTATTGGCGGTGGTCACCCATAAACTCCCTCGAACGGTATCATCCCAATTGGGGGTGATACGTGATATTTACCACAATTCGGGCCCTAAGTAAGTTCTTAAAAACCAATGATGCACCAGTATCTTCCACTAAAATTCACCAGAGAAGTGCAAGAACTTCTTCATGACAGTAAGATGCCCAGCTAACTTCCTCTTTGGTGCGTTGATGCCAGGAAATCCAATCTCAAAGTCAATGATGGATATCTCACGGCTTCCTAATCCATTAGATGACATGAATTTTCCATTCATCAACTGGCGTCGTGGAAGGGTCCCTGTAGGAACAGGAGCCACAGACCCCCCAAGAGCACTTATTGAGACCCCAACATCTCCATCAGCAGTTGGTCCTATAATGGACCTAGTCCACTGAAGGCCTTCAGAAGGATACTGAGCCAACAAGTGAGCCGCAGCAGCCATAGCAGGGGAAACATATGCACCAACTCTTATAACGCTTGATGTAGTACCCCCAGGTGCACCCATAGTTGTCAATACTGATCCTCATTGCCAGTGCTGCTTACAAATACTATATGGTGCTTGTTGTTGATTAGGTCACACTTGTGCTCATCAATTGGAGGGCTACGCTCAATCGACCACAGCTTTCTGACTTGTGTAGTTGCTTCAATTTGTGGAGATAGATCCTCTGTCCAAACCCCTTGGGTCATCGATGGAATGTTTTCAAGCAGAATATGCTTGAATATATTGGTTTCCAATTCTGAATTAACGAACTCGTACTTAGAGGAAGTGTTACGAGTGAGGCATTGAACAATTTCGCCAGCTTCAGGTTCAGCGGCAGCTGTTGATTTCTCCTCTCGTTCCTTGTCCTTGTGGCCATTGGTGAATGTATCATCAGAGGAAGGTTGCCACCGACAGACATACTGCTGACAGAATGAGGGAACTTGCATAGGAGCTCCCCCAGGTTGCTCCTCTCGTTCCTTCCCACGTCTCGACCAGCATAGTTCTCATCTCCCCCAGGTTGCGTTCGATATTGTCCAGACTTTTCTCCATTCCCCGTGTGTATATTTCCTTCACCACTCCATCTCGTCGATGCTCCAGGATGATCGATTCAGACTCTGCCTCCAGGAGCGAGTTCTCTGATAACAATGATAGGAACTCCTCAAACGCAGCAGAAAACTTAGTTATGTATTGATGAAAATCTCAGAACCTTCAGGCATTACAATGGCAGAAAATAGTAGGGAAACCTTCCTAAACAGAAAAATAGAAAGAGAAGACAAGTTTGAGATACTCAATGGGGTGTCCCCAAGACCCCAACTATGACTTTGATGGAATTTAAAAGATTATGGATTTTGAAATCTGAGGGGTGCCCGGAAAATTGGTGGTGGAATGTTTTGTATGTACTATGTAGAAATCCACCAAAATCAATTAAAATCCATCCAAATTAGTAATAATAGAAATTCACGGAATGTTTGAGAACACCATTATTTTCATAGCTTCCACAGAAGTTCAAATCGGGTACACCTAAATTCTGACAATTCTGAATCCCATTAAAATCTTCGAGAATCCATATTAGAGTAGTCTCCCTCCCCCAAACCTATTTCCAGTCTCAAGTTCTGCTTGCCTCTTATTCCTTCGCTTATATTTATACTACTCTTATAACTATTATTATTAATAACACTAGTCTACCTGGGCCTCTATTATCTTATGATTAAAAGCTTTATTCTATCCGGGTTCCAATCATAGAATCACTTATGTATTGGTTTCTTAGATTTGTCAATTTCCCGCCACTAACATTTTTTAATTTAGTTTGAATAAGAATACTGCTATGATAACAAGCAACACATATAGTGTTTCATACACCATCCATAAGACCATAACGTTCCTCATTTTAATTCGTTTTTTACAACCTTACAATGACGATCTATCATAAATCATAAACAAGATTCACTATTAGAACCACACAATTGAGCACGTGGCATGACTGGTAATTTGAGAATATTTAAACAGGGGCAGCCAGGCGCACGAAGGCATCCCCACAAGGCGAGGGTCCGGGGAACGGCCCCGCCACAAGGGTGTATAAGGGGCAAGCCTTAATTTGAGAATATCGAAAATGAAATAAAAAACAAAGGGCAAGCAAAGAAAATGACAATACCTTTGAGGAGGCTTCGGTAGTTCGACGATCTTTCGGTCTTTTGACACCTCCTGATGCCCCTCATCGGCCATGCCACCCGGAACAATCATCCTTGGAGAGAAAATGTGTTGACACTTATGTCGTGCTCTGCATTGCTATACACAATAATCCTATGTTCTGAATTTTTCCGGATAAAAATTAGAGACCACATAGATGAGAATTGAGAGCAAATCATATTGAAAAGAAAAGTAAATACCGTGGAGGAGAAGAGTAGACCAGAGCAGAATAATGAGAAGATTACAGCCTCAACAATTACGGTCATCAGGCCATATGGTTTTAACTTTCCTCCTGTCACTAACTCATATAAAGCTCCTTTAGCAGGTTAAGATATCTGATTGCCGGACTGACCTCTTCCAAAATGGTGGATGTTTCATTCTAGTTCTAGGCAGCACCTGGTAAGGTCAAATGAGTTAGATAAATTTAAATAAGAACCAGATAAACATTAAAAAGCCAATTACAATTCAGCTTATGAGTTTATGCTTTTTTCTTTTAAGCCCCATGATAAGCTCCTTTACGCATATCATGCCTTTCCATAGCATCTAACTCCTCAGTTCATTAAAAAACACTCTATTATCATGACTACACATAGAAAACAGTCCACTCTCACTCCATAATAAATATTTTCTTTTTAACAACAAAACACGTTATTATATGGAAAAGAATTACTAATGATCACCACACAAGTGATACAACTATTACATTTTGTACTGATATGCTTTGAATAATAATAAAGATAAACATGTTTGTTTTAAAACAATAACAAAACATTTCTAATAAGCAAAATGCTTCATTTTCTTCCAACACTACTATCATTCAACGGGTCTTTTTTGCATTGCTAAAAAAAGCTAATTTTTATCTTATAAAAACATAAACTAATTTTAGCTAATAAAAACATAAACTGCACAGAAAGGGATATAAAGAAATAGGCATTCTCACCTGCTTTTTCCTATCATACAATGTACAAGAACATGTGCTTTATCCCTATCACCTGCAAAACACAAAGTTCACAAAATTTTGGGTGGCTAAAAACGGGAAACATACGGGAAAGACAATTGTGGATCTGCCACAAGATGGTGAGGCCATTCCGAAACTCGAAACCAAGGTACAATAGTATTTTATAATTCTTGAACATTATAGATTTCAATAGTTTCATTTTATAATATACAGTTGTCTGAAAGGATTATACGAAAACTGATGTCACATATAGCTTTGTGTTCACATCATGTTGCAGCATTGCAGTTGAAATAATGAAGCATCCAGTATGTAACAGGTATGGGTTGTCACACTTTGGGAAAGCCAAGCAAAAGAAGCAAGGGGAATTGATGCAAGAAGCATCAGTTACACACTAACTCATTGAGGAAGTTATAAATTACCTCAATCAAACTATGGTCACTACAGATCATTAGCAGGTAGTAATGTACACAAGCAGCTTGTTGCAAGCAGGGTAAGAGGGCTTTAGACAGAGAAAAAGGATTTAGGCAGATCATGTTTAAGCATAAAAATCCTACATTTGCTATTTTTATAGGTTGCTTAAGCGTAAACATCTTATTTGCTGACTACATTTGTAAAGTTTGTGTATATAACTATGCCTGCTAAAATGCAAGAGAAGGCACAATTCTCTATGAATGTTTAAAGTACACATATTAAGTCAAAGTACACTGCAAAATAAAAATCTCAGGATTTATTTTAGCCAAGTATTCTATTTATCAAAGTACACTGCAAACTAAAAATCCCAGGATTAATTTTCAGGATTGGGTATAAGGCTTAAAACAGGTGTGAATATTTTGCGCTTGGTCGGTCATGTGTCAGAAAAGATAAGGAGTACAATCTAAATCCCTTAACGAGGATCCATTGAAGGGCAAGTCTGGTGCCAGCAGCCGCCCTCCAATAGCGTATATTTAAAAGTTGTTGCAGTTAAAAAGCTTGTAGTTGGGCTTTCAGATGGGTTGGCCGGTCCGCCTCATGCGACTTCACAAGATCACACTTTCACCTGCTAAGTCTAGCAGCTTGGAACTTGTGATTCTGAGAAACATTCCTGTGAGTCAAGTGCATCAATGAAAAATAGTCCCGCAACGTCTATAAAGCCGACCACAGCTTTTAACAATTCCTGAAAAATTGTATCATGCATTCAAACAAAGGATGACACATACACAAAAGGAAACTAGTTGACAACAGTGAGTTTTGATATTAAAAATTATCATAGAACACATTAGTAATTGAATCAACATTAGTAAAAAATAGCATAGGCAATATCATGAATGTCATCTTCAATGCATTGAAAATCACTTTTTCATTATTGATTCATATCCTCTTTTCAGGCTCCATATTTTTAATGATCAACCCAACAGCATGAACACTGCTGCTTCAATATTTCACATCATGCTACAGTTTATGCTATCTTTAATTCTGCGACCAAATTCCAAAGCACAATATTTAAGATGAGCTTTATATTTGAGCATCCGAGATAGTCAGGACTAGTCTACAAGATCAAAAATAATAAGGCCTTATCGTGAAGATAGTTTCATAGTCCCTTTTTCATAAAATATAAGGAAAAACTAATTGTATGATAGTGCATAAGATGACAATGTTATCAAGAACATGTAACCAATACATGGTAGGGCTCGAACTATCACATGGTAGCTGCGCATGAAGAAAAAATATAAATGTTACTTGCTGTGGAACTTCATGAAAAAATTGACCTTTAGGAATTGAGGTTGACAGATCATACAACATGGATGTTAAACATTAGAAGTCCTTCCATAAAACATGTTGGGAATTCAATTAAAATTTAGTCAACCAAACTTGCAATACTAACCTTCACTTCATGTTAAAAGATAAACAACAACAACAGCTTTTACTGAAGTACCAAGAGCATCATGTTCAGACCTTCAAAAGTTTACCCAATCACAGCTTACAAATATTCAGGAAAGAAAACTTATGAGTCACACAAAATAGGATGTTGAGTACCAGTACCACTGTTAATCTATAAATAAAGAGGACAATTGCCAAACACATCCCAATTAAGTAATCTAAAATTTTGAAAAAAGTTGTGAACTCTCGAAAGAGAAAAGGATACACTAATGAAATACCAATTTGTCAATTGTGTATTTTGTATATAAATTAGCAAAACGACTGAATCAAAGTCTAAAATGAATCATTTCATCATCATTTTCATTTACCCCAGTGCCGCAAAGGCTCCCACCTACGGTGGGGTAAGGGGGAGTCGGATGTAAGCAGTCTTACCCCTGCACTAAAGCACAGAGAGACTGTTTCCGGATGACCCATAGTGAAAATCGCGTCCAAAATTGCATGGACTGACTACTGCTTCATAACAAAGAAGCGCAGACAGTTTAGTGAGCCATTTTTCAAAATGAATCTATTCATAAAATATAGAAGGTCGTGACATTTGCAAATGCAGAAGCAATGAAAAGACTAGCTTAGAATATAGACACATTATAGTGAGAATAAAACTTCCACAATAACATAAAAAGCTATTACTAAATGATTAAGCAATAAGCATACCTTCAAAGTAAGAGATCAAGATGTTTCGGTTGGGGGTGACATGGTAAACTCTTTACGGAGTTTCACAGATCTTCAAAATGTGAATTCAATAGCTTTAAGAGCTTAGTATGGCTCTTTTCCTCTTGCAGCCGTCAAGGAAAGTGCGCCATATCAAAGCATTAGGAGGGAAAGGCATCTTATCGATGAGCTCTTCTGCTTCTACAAGACGACCACATCTTGCTAACAAATCAACAGCAATTACATAGTGATCCATTTCTGGTTCAACCCCATACTTGGAATTCATTTCCTTAAACAATGACATCCCTTGTTCAACCAACCCAGCATGCCTGCAAGCTGAAAGAACAGCCATGAAGGCCACCGTATCAGGCTTAATACCATTCATTATCATCTCATAAAATTTCTCTATTGCTTGATAAGCATATCCATGTAGGCCAAGTGATGAAATAATAGCAGTCCATGAAATGACATTACTTTTGGTGATGCCATTAAATATCTTTATTGAACTATCAAGGTTCCCACATTTTGCATACATGTTAATCATGACATTGCATACAAATGTGTCGCACGAATTAGAATCGTTTTTAATAAGTAGGCTATGAAGAGAGCTGCCCAACCCCAAGTTGCATAGTGCAGTGCAACTACTGAATAGGCTAACATATGTGTAATTGTCGGGAAAGACACCAGTTCTCTGCATGTGTCGAAATAGGTCAAAAACCTCTATGTGATACCCAATTCTGGAACAAGCAGCAATCAAAATATTCCAAGATATCATGTCAGGAGGATCCTCAAGTGCGGAAAACAACTCCATAGTCTTATCATACTGACGGGATCTGTTATATATTCCAGCCATCACATTAGTTGAGACAACATCAAATGGTGTGCCATTAAAATCTATGGAGTTCAGTGCATCTGATAGTAAGCCATTTTTGGCATATCCACATATAAGAGAGCTTAATACATAAGAATACTCAAGGTAACCTGTCTTTACCATCAACGAATGAAGCTGCACTAATTCTGTTATGCATGATGACTTCATGACAATAGAAAATGAAAAATCATTTGGATAACAACCTAGGCGTATCATTTCCCGCAAAAGCAAAAAGGAATCTAGAGATCCTCTATTTGAATATCCTAGAATCAACGTGTTCCAAGAAACTATATTCTTTTCACATATGTCATTGAAACAACGATGTGCATCTTCCAATTTGTCGCATTTTACGTAGAAGCTTAATACAGCACTGCCAACCCTTACATCAATTTCAAGCCTTTTCTTGAAAAGTTGTGCATGCAAAGCTTCTCCATCAGATATACTCTTTAGCCTAGAACATGAATTAAGGACATTAATGAAAGTGATTTCATTTGGGGAGAACCCATTCGCATACATTTCCACGAAAGCACTCAATGCTTTGTCTGGTGAATCACTGTTTGCCATTGCTCCAATTATTATGTTCCACGAAATAATATCCTTCATGGGCACTTCCTCAAACATTTTATTCGAAGTTTTTGCGCAAAAACATTTTGCGTACATGTTGACTAAAGAATTCTTAACTGAAATTGTGATGTCCAATCCATACTTCAGTGCAACTGCATGCACCTGTTCTCCTAATTCCACATAAGATAACCCCACAAAACAAGACAGAAGGCCAACAAACGTGGCCTCGGATAAACCCCTTCCATCTCTAAGTATCTCAATGAACATTTTCATCGAATTTTCAACATATCCATGTTGTCCGAACAACACAATCATTGAATTCCATGTAACCAAATTCTTTCGAGGCATGCTCTTAAAAATCTGCCAGGCCTCATGTATACACCCGCATTTTCCAAGTGTGGTCAGTAATGAGGTCCCTACAAAAGCATTAGTATGAAACAATGGTGTCTTTTCAATCAGTGCATGCAATTGTGCCACTTGATAATAATTCAAGAACTTGCACGACAACAGCCCCCCAAAAGTAAATTGAGTGGGGTCAAATCCACACCTCCTTATCTCAGAAAACAGCTTCCAAGCTTCACTTACATTCCCATATTGACTATACGCAGTAATCATAGTATTGTAAGACACAGTATTTTTATGTGTCATTTCATCAAACAAACCTCGAGCTCCATTCACATCGCCATAAAGGACATATTTGGATAAGACATTGTTGAGAGGGAAAACAACTTGTTCCACGGTAAAACCAATTTTGATGATGAGTGCATGAAGAGACTTGGTTACACTAAGGGAATGAATTTGAACCCATGTTAACGGTTCTTGAAGTAACTCTATGAGTCCGGAGTGTTTGATATTTTCAACATGATAAAGACAATTCTCAGTAGAAAATGAACACTGGAATCTTGGACCACTTAAGAAAAGAAATTTGATTTTCAAAAACTTTGTGGTGATGGAAGCCAATGAAATCGCCTTTCTCATGACGTTAGGACTCAAACCTGGGAGATTCAACTAAAGAGCATTTAGTAATTGATTACATTTTATAACATGCACAACAAGAAATATAAAAAAGTGGGTGTTCACATTAGCAGAAGTGGAGTGGTTGATAAATAAAGGTTTGATGAACTCTAGCTTTCCATTTTAACAAAGAGCAGCAGCCTTAAAGCATGCTAATGTTATAAGGAGTATTACTTAGAGGATAATTACAATAGAAACCTAAATTAGCTCTTAGGTGATATCTGACACCAGGGCCATTAGTGAATAAAAGTCCAAACAGTGAGAACAAGTCAGCTTTCCTTCATTTATTCTTTTATAACATAACACCCTTGTAAAATTGCCAACAATAAATTTATAACCACTAGCTTTATTCTTCAAATTAGTTTCCTTATGAATCCAAGTAAAAATCTCAAAACTTTAATGCAAAAGAGGGGACAGCCAAAGTAACTAGAGTCAAAGAGGATATTTTCTCACTGTAATGCATGTCATAAGGCTGTCTGCAATCCATCTGTGAAAAAGTCTTCATTAAACTTTTCACTCCTAAAATTGCTCCAATCCATTGTATTGACGGGTGCAAAAGTGGATTGGTGCAACCCTTGGAGTGGGAATTAAAGAGAGTATTGACAGAGGAGAGAAGCTAACAGGAGTGTTGAAGCATGCAAGAAATATGAGTGGGCCCATTCAAATTATAAACCCCAATTTTATTTAAAGTGTTTTAACTTTTTTATTTTTACTCCAATTTTGATACGACTTCCACAACTCAGGAATCAATCACAATAGAGCTAAGAACAAGGTAAGAAAGCAGAATATTATTCACAGAAGGTAAGTCGTATACAAACGTCCCAAGAAGGAGATAGAACTCCAACTCCCAGTCCCAGACAATTAGTCTCAAAACAGCCTGCTCTCCTACAGCAGAATTATTCTATTTATATCCTTCTACAAACAGAAGGTAGTTATTAGTTACTTAACAACTCACAACTAATAACCGCTAGTCTATTTTAGGCCTTCTAGAATAAACTCTCCCGAACCTTCTATTCTGAGTAAGTAGACTAGTTGGATCTCTATCAATACCCCCTCCTTGCAGAACCAACTTGTCCTCAAGTTGAAAGTCAGGGAATTGATCTTGGATCATGTTAATATCCTCCCATGAGTCTTCAAAATCAGGAAGGCCCTGCCAATGCACTAGGACCTCCTCCTTCCCTTCTTGATTCATCCTGTTGTCTCTCACAGCTTCAGGTCTCACTTGCAACTCACAATCTTCTGTGAGGCAATCTGGGAGGCTTTGATAAGCTACAGTGGGTTTCAGCACTTTCTTCAACAAGGATATGTGGAATACAGGGTGTATTCTACTTCCTTCTGGCAACCTTAATCTGAAAGCAACCTTATTTATTTTCTCTGAAATTTCATAAGGGCCATAAAATCTTGGACTCGGCTTTTGATTGATCCTCTTGGCCAAACTTCTCATTTTATATGGTTGTATCTTTAGGAAAACTTGATCTCCTACTTCCAATTCTTCTTCCCTCCTATGTTTATCAGCTTGTTGCTTCATCAAATTTTGTGCTCTGGCCAAATTCTCCTTCAATTCAGTCAACATCCCATTCCTCTCAGCAGTCATTTTAGTTACTTCATCTACTGAAGTTATACTGACATCACCTCTGATGATAGCAGGAGGTGATTGTCCAAACAAGGCCTGATATGGAGTGCTTTTCAAAGAGCTATGATAATTAGTGTTGAACCAATATTCAGCCCATGGAAGCCATTTAACCCATTGTCTCGGTTTCCTTCCACTTAAACACCTCAAATAAGTTTCTAGGCAACGATTTACCACTTCAGTCTGCCCATCACTTTGTGGATGGTAGGCAGTACTATATTTGAGCTTTGTCCCAGCCAATCTGAACAACTCTGACCAGAATGAACTCAAGAAAAGGCTGTCTCGATCACTCACAATGGATTTGGGAAATCCATGTATTTTCACTACCTCCTGAATAAAGATTTCAGTCACTCCTTTGGCATTATAGGGATGTGCCAATGGTATGAAATGTGAAAACTTTGTCAATCTGTCAACCACCACCAAAATAGTGTCTTTTCCTTGTGATTTTGGTAAACCTCCTATGAAATCCATGCTAATATCAGTCCAAACCTTTTCAGGTATGGGTAGGGGCTGCAGCAAACCAGCAGGCTTTAAAACCTGATATTTATTCCTTTGGCAAGTGTCACATCCCTGAATATAATCCTTTATGTCAGATCTCATTCCCACCCAAAAGAATAAATTGGAAATCCTCTTCATAGTCCTGAAATACCCTGAATGGCCCCCTATGGCTGAATCATGGTATTCCTTGAGAATGATTAGAATTCTGTGGGATCCTTTTGGTAAAATCAACCTCCCTTTGTAATAGAGCAACCCTCCCTTCCTCTTATAATCCTGATATTTATCTGGTTGAATTAACATCTTCTGCATGATCTCCCCCCATTTAGGGTCCTTCTCCAGTTCCTCTTCCAAACCCTCCCATTCCTGGCAAGTTACTGTAGATAGGGCTGCATATGTATACTTTCTGGATAAGGCATCAGCTGCCTTATTCTCAATCCCTGGTTTGTATCTAATGGTAAAATTGTAACCCATCAATTTGGCTATCCATTTTTGTTGATCTTCTCCCATAACTTTTTGCTCAGTCAAATATTTCAAACTCCTTTGATCTGTATGAACCTCAAAACTCCTTCCCAAAAGGTAAGGTCTCCACTTTTGAATAGCAAAAACAATAGCCATTAATTCTTTTTCATACACAGATTTATTCAAATATTTGGGAGATAACTGTTTGCTCATATAAGCAATAAGGCCTCCTTCCTGCATCAATACAGCCCCTAAGCCTTTTCCTGAAGCATCAGTTTCAATCACAAACATCTTGTTAAAATCAGGTACTCTTAGCACTGGCAAGGAAATCATGGAACTCTTCAGATTCTGGAAAGCATCAGTAGCCATCTCATTCCATACAAAGTCATCTTTCTTTAAAAGCATGGTAAGAGGAGCAGCAATCTTGCTATATCCCCTTACAAACCTCCTGTAATACCCAGTCAGGCCTAAGAATCCTCTGAGTTCCTTCAAATCTTTAGGGATATTCCAATTCTTCATAGCTTCAATCTTTTCAGGATCAGCTGCCACACCCTCTTCTGAAATTATATGTCCCAGATAATTCAGTTGTCTTTGGCCAAATGAGCACTTTTTTTATTGCTACTAACTGATTCTTCTTCAAAGCTCCCAGAACCTTTCTTAGATGTTCTTTATGTTCTTCCTTAGTCTTACTGTAAACTAAAATATCATCAAAGAACACCAAAGCAAATTTCCTCAGAAAAGGCCTTAGAACCTCATTCATTAGTGACTGAAAAGTGGAGGGAGCATTAGTCAGTCCAAAGGTCCTGATCTGGTGGTAACCTGCTTTGAGATCCAGTTTTGAAAAAATTCTGGCACCTCCTAACTCATCCAAAAGCTCCTCAATCACTGGAATAGGAAACTTATCAGGTATAGTAACCTTATTTAAAGCCCTATAGTCTCCACAAAACCTCCAGACTCCATCTTTCTTTCTAGCTAATAGAATAGGGCTACTATAGGGGCTATTGTTGTGTTTAATGATTCCAGATTTCAACATTTCTGCAATAATCTTCTCAATTTCATTCTTTTGATCAAATGAGTACCTGTATGGTCTGATATTTGGTATATCTGCTCCTTCTTTAATATTGATGGCATGATCACAGTCCCTTGCAGGTGGAAATTGGAGTGTAGAATCAAAGACTTCTGTGAATTCAGCTATCACTTCTCCCCACTCAGTTTCCCTGTCATCTTTCTCAGTCAGTTTCTCTGATTCTCCTTCACAGTACAACAAGAACCCATCTCCTTCCTGATGTAAAATGTGACCCATAGTCTTCAAAGTCACCTCCATCTGATTAGCATCTGGATTACCTCTTATGATGTATGTCTCCCCTTTCTGATTCCACTTAAGGATTTGATGCTTAAAGTTTACCTCCATGTCTCCCAATCCAGTCAGCCATTCCATCCCCAACACTATATCCACAACTCCCAATTCCAAGATGTAATATTCTTGTTGAATTTGTACTCCCTGAATCTCCAATTCTGCCAATGAACATCTGCCCCAATTGGGTATACACTCACCATTCCCAATCTGAACCTTATAACCCTTAATTGGATTGTAAGGTATTTTTTTGCTCTCCACTATAGTTCTGGACAAGAAATTGTGTGTAGCACCACTGTCTATTAATACAGTGACCTCTATCACTCCACCCACCCATTTCATCTTCCCTTTCACCTTGAAAGTAGTCATAGAAGATATTCCTTCCTTACTTAATACTGAGAGTTGCATGTTCTTGTTATCCATTTGATTGGTAGTATTCATTAGTTCCTCTACTGTTTCTTCTCCTTCAATCTCAGAATTTTCTTCCCCTTCAGAATTCTCTACCAAAACCATCTTGTAGTTTTTCATCTTACATACATGACCTCTGCCCCAAATCTCACCACATTTAAAACACAAACCCTTCTTGCTTCTCTCCAACAACTCCTCTTGAGATAATCTAGGCCCCTGTCTTCTTTAAGAAACTTCTTTAGCTTCTGGATGATTTCTGATTTCATTGGCCCCTTTATTTACTGTACTGGAGTTTCTCAGAGGTCCCGGATAGCTTCTCCATTTACTACCTTCACTCCAATTCTGTCCTGGACCCTGAATGATAGTTCTGCTCTGTCCCTTCTTCTTGTTCTCCTCCTTATTCTTCATTAAAACTGCTTCCATATTCTTGTTTTCAATCAATGATGTCTTATCCATCACTTCAGCCAGTGTCCTGGTCCGATAGAGCTTCAATTCTACTCTAATATCCCTTTTCAGCCCTTTTAAGAACACACCTTTCAACACTTCCTCAGATAAATGTCCCTGTGATGCAATAGTTGTCTCAAATTGATCTCTATACTCAGATATAGATCCCTTCTGTTTCAGACTAAATAAAGGCCCCAAAGGATCCTGAACCAAGTTTGGTTGAAATCTCCTGGTCAACGCTCGTGTAAATGAGTCCCAATTCAGATGTTGTGTCTGTCCCTCCCACCATTGGAACCAACTGAGAGCTTGGTCTTCCAGTGCGATGACCGCCACATCCAATTTATCTTCGTCTTCCGTTCGATTCAATCGGAAGTATCTGTTCATCCTTAACAACCAACCAGAAACATCCTTTCCGTTGAAAAGGGGCAAGTCAATTTTTCTTCCCGTATTGTTCTGATTTCTATGATTCCGTCTTGGTTCGTGATTGTGTTGCGAGACGGAATTGTTAACTGCATCATCCGAACTATCTTCCTCTTGCAGATTCCTCTGATGAGCTGTTCGCTATGAGTTGTTCGATCTTCGTGACTGACTCCGAGATCGATTTGTCATCTGAACATGTAATTCAACGATACTAGCTTGCATCGCAGTTTGCATCGCTGCAATATTCGCTGCAATATTCGCAGCTAGATTCTCCATACTCGTTTGTATCTCACGTTGACCTCGCTCAACGCCATTCATTCTCCCTTCCATTTTCTTCCTCGTGCCAACCATTCACCACTACAACCAGTCTCTGATACCAATGATACGACTTCCACAACTCAGGAATCAATCACAATAGAGCTAAGAACAAGGTAAGAAAGCAGAATATTATTCACAGAAGGTAAGTCGTATACAAACGTCCCAAGAAGGAGATAGAACTCCAACTCCCAGTCCCAGACAATTAGTCTCAAAACAGCCTGCTCTCCTACAGCAGAATTATTCTATTTATATCCTTCTACAAACAGAAGGTAGTTATTAGTTACTTAACAACTCACAACTAATAACCGCTAGTCTATTTTAGGCCTTCTAGAATAAACTCTCCCGAACCTTCTATTCTGAGTAAGTAGACTAGCTGGATCTCTATCAAATTTTTACAAATAATATATCAAAATTCATAATTTTTAATTCTCTTTCATATGACACATATATAAATAAAAAAATATTTTATTACATCTTTCACTTTTTTCCCAATTTTACTTTTTTAACATTGGAATGTTTGACTTTTTAAATCATAATCATTTTTAAAAATAAAATTGGAAAAATTTGTTGCATAATAATAAAAGTAAGGTTTTAATTACAAAGAACTTTGCAGAATGAATATATTGACAGTGCTGGATTGCAGTAAAAATTGAATTGACCAAGTGAATACGTAGAAATTAGTGGGAAATTTAATTTATTGACTGGGATGGGTTGCGGTTAGCCTAAATGTAAAAAAGAACTTATAACCTCGAAGTACATTGGTTGGACAGTTGGACCTCAAAACGCACGATTCATACTTAGGAAACAAGACCAAGTTCACTCTTAAACAACTTTCCCAGAGTTGTCACCACCATTTTATCCTGCATATCTGAAATCACTAATATCTAATTCAAAAAAAAAACATTATAACTATTCTGAATGATCTGTTTTCCCAACTTATTATCCCATTTGGCATCTCTTCCATTAAAAAAAGAGTAACGAAACTGTTTTAGAGTAAGGTATTTATCCATGTTAAGATTCCTAGCTAAATAAAGTTGAAAATTATAAAGAAGCAACAATCTAATGAGTAATGACAGAATGCACATAAATGATACGTAGTATATAATATATAATTAAGTACATTAATGAGTTCTTAGTCTATGGAAATAAACAGAGCAATCGTTCCCTACATTTAAACAAAATACCAAAAAAGAATGAAAATAAATCAGATAGTTTGAAATCGAAAAAAAAAATAGCATAATAGAGTTCTGGGAAAGTAAATCAGCTCATGAGTATGGAGAGGCTAAAACTATTGAATCAGTTTTACTACGTATAACATTACCGAGAAGAACGAATGGGTGGAGAATAATACGGTGTAGAAGGTATTATAAAACTATGATGTCTTGGAGAAAAAGTGACTGACATCCAGTATAGCAGATATTAAAATTATAGATAAACTCAAGTACATTAATTCAGTCCAAAAAAGGGGAGAAAACTCTGCAACTGTAAATAAAATTTAATACAAAAATCCAAATAAAATAAAAGGCAGCGTATTAAATTTCAAATGAAATTTGGGAGATGCAAATATGGACCATTTATCGATTTGCGCATATTATCCTTCCACAAGGACCCTGGTGGTCTTCTTTGTATTGTTCAACTTTATAGGATGTCCCCGAATGGACACTACGTGCGACTTATGCAGAACATTATTACTTATTAGCAGTGAGCAATCACATTTGTGGAATGTTTTATTTTAAGGGACAATAATTACCTCTTATAAATCCTACATATTATCGCCTTATTGGTGGATTTAATTTTTTTAAAATGAAAGGGCTCTTTAAGTGTACAAAAAAACTGAAAGTTAGAATAGGTAGTAGGAAGGTTCACTACTTCACTTGTAACAAATTCAAAAACTGCTAATCTCCTCATCATCATCATCATCATTTTCATTTACCCCAGTGCCGCAAAGGCTCCCACCTACGGTGGGGTAAGGGGGGTCGGATGTACGCAGTCTTACCCCTATACTAAAGCACAGAGAGACTGTTTCCGGATGACCCATAGTGAAAATCCCGTCCAAAATTGCATGGACTGACCGATGCTTCATAACAAAGAAGCGCAGGCAGTTTAGTGAGCCATTTTGCTTTATTCCATCATAATCTCAAGCCGAAAAATAATGAATCTTTGGCTCCAAAAAAAAATACTTTATCAAAAACTGCTAATCTACCGAGTAAAATTTTAGTGTGTGAAATAATGATAACAATTGTGTCGTTCACTTTATCAAGAAAATTTTGTAATTTACCAAATAACTTAGATCCCCTGTAGATTAGTTTCAGTTAATATGAATATATAATCATCAAATATTTTCCTTGGTGATAAGGCCAAAACATTGAATAGTATAAAACATTTAGCAGCGTATCATAGATGATGAATAAACAGCCAAAACTCCGAAGAGATAGGACAACCAACTACCTACTATTGGAAGTTTCCTTGAAAGAATGAGGCAAACAACATTGAAACCAAATATAGTTTGAGAGTAAACCTTTTTTAGAACCTAATACAATAATAGTTAAATTAAAAATTAACTTCATTTTTGTTTTTTGAGGTACAATTGAACTAAGAGAATTTTTAAATCCTGGCATTGCTCTTTGATAAAGAGGGGAGAGGGTAATGAGCTCTAAATACATACATATATGAGTGTTAGTTCTGGACAAATTTGAAAGAGTTGGTACACTTTTTGTATACCACTCATCTCCAAACTTTGATTGGCAAAAAACATTAAAATATTTTTGACTTTGAACTCTTGTAGTTGCAGTCGAATTTTGAGTATAACAACATTGGTGCCGCAAAGGCTCCCACCTATGGTGGAATTTTGAGTTAACATTAGCACTTAGAGATTTTTTCTAATAAATAAAAATACTTTATTCTATGTTTATATTTCATTTTATTAGAGAAAATGTTTTGGATTCAAGTGTGCTTTCATATAGACAGATTTTTTAAAATCTTAAAAAGTGATGAATATGTACTAAAGTCATCTCTTTAGATTTGTTTAGTTAGTGCATGAAACCTATCTAATTTATTTGATCCCTGATATAGCATTCACAAATGCCTATGCTAAATCTAATTTTCGGTGAAGCATGCAAGTACTTTCACCAAACCAACAAATAGGCGCGCAACAGAGTTCTGAAATGGAAGTTATAAATTTTTCTCACCTAGATACCTTGTTGGTTACCAAAAACATATTGTTGATTTTTGATCTCTCAACTCTTAAATATAGTTTTTAAACTCATCATCTACTAAGACAACTATTTATGTAAATCACACTTTTTCTTTGTTATTTTAGTTGTTCTTAAGCATAACATAAACTTCTAGAAATGAAGGTTTGTTCTAAGAACAAATTAGAAATAAAAGCCATTTTTTTCATCCAAAAAATAGAATCAAAAAGTAGTACTGGCAATAGAAAGTATGTGAAAAGGTGAACATATGAGAAAATAATATAACATTGTAGAAGAAAAAGAGAAATCATGGAAAATGTCATTTTAGTATTCATATACGATTTTGTTCAAGATATTATTGGATGTTAACAAAAAACATTGACTGCGGCATTTTATCAAACAGTCTGTGGACATAAAAAAACTACATAACTAAGGTTGAAGCACGTCTAATCCAAATGAAACAATTTGTAGTCATGTTGAGTAGTGATGTGTGTAATCACATACGATAGTATTAGACATTAGAGCCGCATGGAATAGTACAAGTTTGCATTGCTAGCAAATGGATTAATTTAAATGCTAGAAATATGAGTACCTTATTTAAGGAATAGAAAAGTAGGCAAGTAGCAGATCAGGTGAGGAAGGCACAGATGACGCCATGTTGTGGGCTGAGATACACAAATGGTATAGGGAAGTTATTTTGGTCGTTGAATAATACACGCGCGAAAGGAGTCGATTCGTCGATTACTGTGCTTTTAAGCAGTAGTAATAAGAAAGGGTGTGCCGCTGGAGCCTGGGGGGTGAACATGGGCGGCAAAGGAAGCTGACTTGAGAGTACGTTTGGTTCGTCCGTTTAAATTTTTTTTGGAACTCTACTAACAGAGATATTTTTCAGTTTTACATAAAACTGGAAAACTAAGAAACAGAAAATAGGAAACGTGTTTACCATAGAAAATGGTTTGGAAAATTGGGTAAAGGAAAACACAAAAACGCGTTTACCAAACCGTTTTCCAAAACGAAAAAAATGAGACATGTCTCTCTTTTCCTTAATGATTATAGAAGTGACTTTTACTAGTTTTCCAAATTTAGAAAACGCAGATGCTACAAGCCACTACAATGAATTTGCATACTTACACCTAGTGGTGGGTCCAGTCCTGCTCCGGTGTCAATTTCATTCTAGTACCTCCATCCTCATACCTTACCCCCTTAACCCACCCTACCCATCCAACCCCCACCCCGCATACCCCTTTTCCCTACAATGACCCTACCCCCACCCCCTACCACATGCCCCTACCTCGGTCCCACCACGATCCACCCTCTACCACCTCAACCCCACCCCGACCCACCCTACCCTACCCCCACCTCGTATATTACCCCTTACCCCTACCTTACCCCTTCCCACATGGCCCCTACCTCGGCCCCACCCTACCGCCACCCTCGTACTGCCATCATACCCCTACCCTACTGCCATCCTACCCCCACCCTACCCCTTCCCCTACCTCTGTAACACCCCCAATTTTTTTTCTCCCAAAATAATACTTACCTGAATAGCGGACATTTATTACTTATTTGAAACTTCCAAATTCTTGCAGCGGAAATAAAGCATAACATGGAAAAGGGGCGTGTTACCGCCACACCCAGCCTTAAACTGACTGGATGCTAAGGCTAACCGCCATAAATGTATCTAAAGTAATCATTTAAATTCAACAGTCGAAAAATGAAATCTAACAGAATCTATTCTAAACGAGACTACTCTAAAAGTCTTCTAAGAGCGCTCTCAAGGCGTCAATCTTCGGATATCACACCATCTGTAACATAAGAAAATAAAAGAAACAAATAACACAAAAATTAGCTTTCGCTAAGTAAATCCCACCCAACCCCGTAAAATAATAGTTTTGTTGAAAAATAAGCATTTGTATATAATATATACAAAAACGAGTTTCCAATAATTTTGTTCAAAAAGAGTGATAACATTTTTAAAAAATTCCTTCAATAATTCTTGTAAGTATTTCAAAGAATAATTCTCCAAATACAAAATTTATTTGTTTTCCTCAAAAGAGCTTTATAGCTAATCTTCCTAGTCATTTAGACGGGCGGTGCTCAAGCGTTACCTCGATTCCTGAGCCCAGTGAACCGTTGTTTTGTACGGTCACTCCGATCTCCTCTCGGTACCTCATCTCCTCTATTAGAATCTAGACTTCTACCTTAAGTGTGCACACCCCCTAAAAGGATTCCAAGCCCTCCGAGTAGTATGAAGTCTAAGTAGTTCTGACGTCAACGTCTCCCTACTCCAAATGGGATATACTCCCTAAATTCTAGGTTCAAAGACCCTTAAGAGAATAGGTACTACTACTGCTCTAATAAAAGGGATCTAATGCCCAATTGCTCGGGGTGATTACTGAACCCTCCAAAATTCATTTAATTTATTTTAAACCTCTCAATTCAAGTAGTAGTAGTCCTAACCCTCCCTCACCATTAACGGACGTGAAGGTGGCCCGACACCTACGGATTTCTCCCGCGGTGCCCCCAATTATGAAAATAGTCTTTTATCTTGTCTTTCCAAAAATCTCATATTTATGTCTCTTGGACAGAATTTCAAGAGGATTATTATCCTTAAATTCTTAACTTTATATCTTCCCAAAATATCTCATGTATACATATAATCCAATATATCTCAAAATCACAATAATACAACTTGTTCACAAATTCATCATTCAAAATATTCATACCATCATCACATATCAAGCAAATAATTATTAACGAGGAAAAATAAAGTTTTGGTTGCAATGTGACTTACCTCGAACTCCAAGTACTCCTAGTCAAGACTTCTACTTTGCTCCTCACTCAAATGACCTTCTATTTAAAATTCAAAAATCAATATCGAATTAACTTATAGTCAAATTCCTATTTTATTATTATTATTATCATCATCATTATTATTATTATTATTATTATTATTATACATATTCATTCCATAATCCCTATAAATAATCGGTTCAATTAGAAATGGTCAATATTTTATTTTAAACTAACCATTAAGATTTTTAATCCCCTTATTTTTATTTTGTATAAAAACAAGTGACGAGTAATAATTATTACATAGGTATTAAGATTATTATTTTAAGCCATTAATTTGAGCACTTCATAATACTTTGAATCATTATATCTTCACTTTTAATCACCGAGTCCTATACTCATTAATTTGCTCTATTTTCAATCCGAATAACTGTTCCGTATTAGTAATTCTAATATTTCGATGGATTCAATAATCATTGATTAAACCTTAAGTACTTCCAATTCAAATATACACTTTGGTTAAATAAACCATTATTAATAAGCAATCATTCTCTAAATGTAAATTTTCATTATCCTAAAAGTGACCAATATGACAAAAGTTAAATAATACTCCGTCTCAACTCATTTCAAAATCCTCCTCCTACTTAGTTATTAATATTCATTATTATTTACTAATATCGCTATTCACATCACTATAGAATCAACCCAGCCAATTTACGAAGGTCACTGCATTAGTTTATTATTATAGCTAAAACTTCAGTCCAGTTTGCCAATTAAAGTCCCGGTTTATTATTTCTATTTTCAGTTTGAAAGAAATACCCAGTCCCTATATTTGTTTTATTATTATTATTACTAATCAGCCCAATCATTAAAGATTTTGGCCCAACTTATCATTTTCTGCCCAAATCTTAAAACTCTGAACCCAACACCAAGTTAAATGGTACGTAGCAGCGTAAAGCAGTAACTACTTAGTACTTACCGTACGTTGTTTTCCTTCGACGGAACAGGGAATCGTCCCGGACTTCCTAACTACGGCGAAAACGGCGAGCAGGGGTGAGGGAGAGGTCTAGATGCAGCTGGCGACGCTCAGCGGCAACGGTGTGATCTGGCGGCAACGACTCCGGTTTCCTCTTCTTCCTCCGGCGAGCCTTGCTGCTGCTCGTTTTCCTGTGGCGTTGCAAGCTCCCTCTTCCTTAACTGCTGCAGTTTCCCTCTTCCTTGCAGAAACGGTTGCAGGCTCGCAGTGTCTAGAGTTTCTTTGTTTGAGGTGAAAAGGTTGCTGCTCCGGCGTGCCTTTCCTTCGACGGGGATGGTGTTAAGAGATGACAGCGGCTGCGGTTGTTAGGAGCGTATACCTCCAACACCGGTCTTTCTATAGTTCCCTCCCACTCTCTCTATACTATTTCTCCCGCTCGTTCTTCTTTTCTTTCTTTTCTTTCGTTTCCTCTTTTCTTCGTTCCTTTCTTTGTGATGTAGGTCATCGTCCGCTTGGTGCTATTTATGGGGAGTGGCTGAAGGTTGTAGGTAGTACGTTACCCGGCCTTTACATTGAACCCTTCGACCGTTTGTTTATTAGGAAGATCTTTTGCATTGATTTTTATTTACTAACTTTCCTTAGTTAAAGATATGCTCCATGCGTAGGTTTATACTACTTTATAGCAATAGTATGGTACGTAGGTTCATCTAAGGTATACGGAGTAATATAAAGTAATTGCCTTTGTTAGTTCGCATGTCTTATTATTACGGAGTATTTTTATATATATTTATATGAATGTTAATATACATATTTTGGCACATAAGTTATTCGTAAATGTCACTATTATAAATTTAGTTGAAAAGTACACCCTTGCCTTTTGGGGTAAATTGTACTAACCGACCCTGCCAAAATGTCGTCGCCTTATTAACTCCAAGTTTCATCTAGTAATTATCATATAAATGTTACTTCCATCGTTGAAATATTTTTATCTGTCATAATTTTTGAAGTTTTGTCTGATTCACTCGATTATTAAAATCTCTCTTTTGTAATAATTTATCCCACTAATAAAACTATTTTTTTTTTTTGGAGTGTCACATTCTACCCTCCTTAAAAGATGCTTCGCCCCGAAGCATAGGCTAATACCTAATATCGATAGGTACAAAATAACTAAGTGTTACATTCTACCCCCCTTAAAGAAAGGTTACGTCCCCGTAACTAAAAACTTTACCTTGACTAAATAGCTCAGGATAACGTTTTCTCATGTCATCCTCCGTCTCCCATGTGGCGTTTTCAGCCACGTGATTTGACCACAAAACTTTGACCATTTGAATGGCCTTTCTCCGAGTTTCACGTGTCTTTGTGTCTAAGATTTTCACAGGTCTCTCTTCGTACGCCAAGGTTTCATCCAACTCGATCACCTAATTACATACAGGGTTATTTCAATGTCTACTAAACCGCATCCTAGCTATTTAAAAGTGAGGTCCTTACCTCTGGGTTTAAGATGTGTGCCTCGTCACGGACATACTTCTTCAGTTGGGATATATGGAATACGTCGTGTACCTTGCACACGATAACACGTTTCAGCTTGGTTTTCCAACTTTGGAATACATTTAGAAAGAACGGATTTAATCCTTACCTTACTCAATTTTGTGGGTAGAGCCAACCTGTAAGCCACTCTTCCCACCTTCTCCAGAATCTCGTAGGGTCCGATGAATCGGGGACTCAGCTTTCCCCTCTTCCCGAATCTCATAACGCCTTTAGTAGGAGAGACCTTGAGAAGTACTTTCTCGCCCACCTCGAATTCAGCTGGTTTTCTTCCTAGATCCGCATATGATTTTTGTCTATCTTGCGCTGCCTTCATCCTTGCCTGAATGAGTTTGATCTTCTCCATCGTGTCTTGCAAGTATTGCGGCCCTAAGACAACCTGGTCTACCATATCGCCCCAACACAATGGGCTCCGACACTTTTGACCGTAAAGAGCCTCGTACGGAGCCATCTTAATGCTCGCATGGTAACTGTTATTGTACGAAAACTCTATTAGGTCTAAGTGCTCGTCCCATGATCCTTG